ACTCACCAGCGGTATCCTTGGTTAGAAATTGACCGCAGCTGAAATAGTTGGTTGCAATTTTCACCTTCCTGTGGTTAAGTTCAGATTCCTGTAGAGAAAAAATGGAATGCAGAAAGAAAGTAGAAATAGGGAGACTTGTGAGCTCTGATTCACCCACTGCAGTAACCCTTTCTACGGAGCTCTGGCACTGCATGTGACCATTAAGAGTTTAATAAAAATCAATATTCATTAGTTATTATTTATTTTTAATTATTTATTATGTTAAGTTTTTTGTTATGTTGCCCTTTCATATTCACATCTTGAAACTTTTGCTTTCTTTACGTTGTGTTATTAAAACAATTAAATTAGTTGCTCGGGAGAATTTTAATTGTCTATTCATAAATGATTTATAATAATGAGAAAGTTAAGATAAAAGCATAAATTAGTTGTGTTATTAATAATGAATTTTTTATATTATAATTAAAAGTGTAATAATATTATCAGTTTTAATACTATGATTTGTAATTGTTAATATGATAATTTTGAATGAAATTTTTATATTTTATGTCGTTATTTATTCTTTACTTTTTTATGATTTTTTATTAATTAATAGAGGTTTTAATGTACATGTAAATGACATAACTTTTCTCTTCTTTTAATTCTTTTCATTATTTTTCCGTTATGTATATATTAGGGTGAGTTTAATTTTTAATAATTCTGTGCTTAGAGTTTTCCGTTATCTATAATAATTATATCAACACTAAGCAAGAGTGTCGACACACAACCCGTGTCGGGTTTTTGGGCCTTTTTTCTATTTCGTCAAAGATAAAATTGCAAGGCTGGTCCTTGGACTTCTACATGGTGAACATCAAATCCTATATCTTCGAATTTATTGATTTAGGTCCCTAATTGGAACTTTTGTTTCACAATATAGTCCTCAAACTCTGTATGGATTTATAATTTAGTCCCATGATTTCTATTATTATGCATTACAATATTTTTTTATACGTTGCCAAGGATATACATCTTTCACCTCTGGATGCACCTCTTGTTTACTTCCCCTTTCAACCCAAATAGATGCATAGATGCAAATAATTTTTGCCTCCAGCGTTCCGATCATTCCCATCATTTTATTGTTATGATAAGCAATAAATTTATATATACCTTTTGACCTGCCTAAAGGGACGTTGTTTCATATTCTTAACAGTTATTTTTTCAGAATTCATGGCTGCATGATAAGCAATAAATTATGATTGTTATGATAAGCAATAAATTTATTAATATAAAATAACTGAAAAGAATTTACCAATACCACAACTAAACCGTATTTACCAAAGACGAAAAATCTGATCCTTTCAAATGTTTTCATGATTGGCATTTGGCCATCCTCCGGTTTTCCTTCATTCTATTCTTCTTGTTTAGGGTTATAGTTGCTTGGATTGAATGAACACCCTTATTTTCCCATGGTTCCCTACCTCACTGGACATTATTTTTGAGGAGCTGATTAATTAAATTAAATTTTTTGTAAAATAAAGAAAAATTCAATTAGAAGAAGAATGGAAATTAGAGGAACAAAATGAGATAATATAAAAATATATT